GAAAAATGTTCAATGTACAAGAGCAGATGGGTAATGTCAACAGAGAGATGGAAACTCTAAGAATCAAAAGGAATTTCTAGAAATAAAAAACACCGGGTGGATTGGATACAGTAGATTCATAGAGCCAGGTGGAGGGGGGAATGTGTAAAGATATTATCAGCAAAATTTCCCAAATTGAAAGACAAAAGAGAAACAACAGGAAGGAAAAAAGCAGAAAAATGAGAAAGTCCTTTTTAAAAAAAGATTTATTTTTATTTATTTATGCATGCAAGAGCTGGTGTGTAAGCCAGAGTTGTGGGGGGGGGCGGGAGGAGAGGCTTTACCAGAGACAGAGTGGGGAGCAGAACAGGTGGATCTACTGAAATACACTGCTGAGGGGAGCAGCAGGCAAGACAGGAGAGGTCTGTTGTGCCATGTAGATTAGCTCCCTGGCTAGGATTGAATTCATGCCACTGTGGCTGGTGATAGCTTGATATTGCTGACACTTAAGCCCCTGCACCGTCAGAGAGGCCCGGAATAAGATGAAGTTTTAAAGATAATGGAATTGCTCTATGGTAGAGCTTAGTCCTTATCTGGTTCAATCTTCTCTTTTTGAAGATGAGAGAACCCAAGTATTATAGAAACAGGATGTGACTTACAAAATCATTGAAAGGTAAATGTCCGCCCTGTGCTGTGCCTATGTTGTTCTTAGAGTAAATCATGTAAGCCATTAAGGACTTCGGTCTTTTGAAAATAATTAAGAAGCTGTGGCTATGGCTTCAATGTCAAGGATTCAGGTAATCACTGTTGGTTAGTATCTTTCCTGGGAAAAACAAACCAAAGCTATGTGAGACATTGGGACTCTCGAGGACCAACCCTAACAAAATGACCACTTTGGTTATCTCATAACCTGTATTAATCATTTTTGTAAGAAGCAGAGGTGCCAGCACTGCTAATATTCTTCCCCTAACTTTTCCATTTCAACTAGCCATTTCCTCACAAAAGTTAAGATAGAGTGTCAAATTGAGCTAAGATGTATGCCCTATTCTAAAAAGGCTAACTTTACATACAAAAAGAACAGTTTAGGGCCCCCCCTGGTGGCACAACAGGTTAAAGCACTGTACTATGAAGCTATCCATAGCCACTGCAGCACGAGTTCAATCCCCAGTCAGGGAGCTGACCCACATGGCGCAGCAGCAGACCTCTCCTGCCCCACCCGCTGTACTTCATCACTCTGCCTGTTCTGCTTCCCACTGTGTCTCTGGTGAATCCTCTCACTTCCCACACCTCTGGTATGTATCCCAGTTCTCTATGTAAATAATTCTATTTATTCTATAAATAAATCAATCTTAAAAAAAAAAAAGAATGGTTTATCAAAACAAAAAAACTATCAAACCCTCTTCTCGCCCAGTGTTTGAATTACCTTCTGCCTCTATCCATTAGATTGTCTGGTCTTGGGTTGTGTACATAATTATGCTTTGAAGATGTAGTTGCTGTATTAATGGATTCAATTATACACAACACAATGTCTCTCCCATTGCAAAAAGAAGTTAAAATCACAGAAAAGAGAAATGGCCACAAAAACTTGGATTCCAGCAAGTACTCAGGGACAGTCTGAAAGTTTGACAAAACTCTCTTTGACCAAATTTTTTTTTAAAAAGATTTATTTATATATACAAGAACCGGGGTATAGGTCAGAGGTGTAGAGGGTGGGAGCATTTGCCAGACACAGAGTGGGGACCACAGCAGGCACAGTGACTGAAACACATTGCTGAGAGGAACAGTGGGCCAGAGAGGGGAGGTCTGCTGCACCATGTGGGTCACCCTCTGCTACAGTGGCTAAGGATAGCTTCACAGTGCTGCGCTTTGACCAAATTTTAATTAGGTTCCTCACAGCCCTCTTTTCCACCAGATGTATCTCTCTGGGAGGTACACACACACCCCTCCTGTCCTCAATCAGTTGTGAAGATATTGTGAACGTTCTGGGACCCCCTCCCTGGATTAGTAAGCAAGAAAGCAAAGTCACTTACTTTACTTAGGCTTCAAGTCAGAACAGGCTCTGTCCTGTTTGTCAAGTGGTCAAGCAAAAACCAGCTGCCTGTAGCTTAGCCTGTTAGCAGCCAGCTAAAGATTAACAATGGGTACCTGACTTCTGTGTTTCTACAGAGATTCTTCAGAACCACAAGAGGACAAAATCTCAGCATTTGCTGCCTCTGTGCATCAAGACAATTTAGGAAACAGAAGCATCTAAACATCTAACGATGAGTAATTAAGAATTTATTCATTGTTCCTTTTCTTCTGCAAGTAACAAGTATGCTACTTTGTAACTAGACACATAAACTGAACTCAAATTTGTGATTGAAGGGACCAGTTCTCACAGAATAAAATCTGTCGGACTGTTTCTCACGTTCATATCCTCACTTTGATTATTTAATAAGCGTGTTGTCTAACGATCATTGAGATTTTTGTTTCAATCACTACTGCTCAGCAGTTTCAGGGACAATCCCGCTCAGTTTAGAGAGAATTCCCCCATCCTTGATGTCAGTCACCCCAGACTGCCTTCATCAAGAAATAATTCTGTTCATTCTGTTTAGCAAGACTCCCGCAGCATCCCCCTTTCTGCCCCCCACCCCACCCCCATTGACCCTTTCTGTTTCTTGACTAATTTCCCAACTTGTCTTTGCTGTATTCAGAGTTGAGTCACATCTCTCTCTCTCCCCTATTAGACGGTTTTGAAATCTAGTTCAAAATCCTGAATGAAGTTTTTCTTATCAAGTGTTTCTTTTTAACAAGTGTCAGAATTATTTTTTAGCAAGTTGCCAATAAAATCTCAAACCCAGACATTTTTTCAGCAATGAGAAGGGTGTGAGGGTGTCCCTGCTCATTTCTGTTGCACTGTCCACAGAGCTGCAAATAAACAACTCCATTGAACATTTGGGAGAAGCATCTTCTATACAATTACTTCAACCATGAGATTCCAGGCTTGGGACTACAAAAGTCATGAAGTTCCCTCTCCATGGATATCACGAAGTTCTAGACGTGTGCCTGCCAGAACACGTGAGCATGCCTCCTCAGAGGTCCAAGCCTCCCCTCGCCCCCTCCAGTCCTTTGCAGGTCTAGTCTCCACTATGCATTCCTTGGAGCGTGGCGAGAGTGCCTTGAGTGATTATCCAAGCAAGTGCAAGCCACTGCCGAATGCAGATGAACGCTTGGACCCATGCACCCGAGCTACTCTCAATTAAAACACGAACCCAGGCTCTTCCCGCATCTTCCCCACCCGGGTCGCACGCAGAGCGCCGGAGCGAAGCTGAGCACACCGGGCAGGGGCCGGGCGGGGGTTGGGGCGGCGGCAGGGCGGCCCAGACCTGGTGCAGAGTCCCGGGCGCTGGAGGAGGCGCCCCGCCGACCCGCCGGAAGCTGCGCGGGAGGGTCGGACCGCGCGGGCGCCGCCGGGGCCTGCTGACATCAGCCGCTCCTCCCCTCGCTCCCAACCCCCTCTGCTCCGGCCAGACCCTCCCTCCTCCCACCACGTGTCCTCCCGCTCCCTCCCG